CTGACTTTCCGTGTTGGTTTTGTCACCGGTTTTGTAGAGAGACGCGTCAGAGATGGCGTGGCTAACCCGGGTGCATTGGTTTTGTGCCTGATCGTGGAAGACCCCTTCAATGTGGAACGATTCTTAGCCAGTGTCGATATTTTTCACTGCAGTGCCTACACAGACGATCGGGAGAGATTCGGGTGATTGTCAATTGCTGCTATGATGGCTTTGGTTGGTTGTTCTTTTTCACTGTACGGCCGCAGACACATTCTGACAGCACTTCAGACAGCAGCTTTGTGCCCCGCCAGCTTCTTGTTCCATGCCTACCATGGTGTTTTTGTACAGACAGCACTTCAGACAGCATTATGCTGTAGTCGGCAATCTTCCGTTTTGGTATAGAGTGGGACAGGAAGGGGGTGATGCTACTGTAGTCGAACCGTGGGACGGACGTGCAGTTCAGTTTTTGGGCACGCATACGGTGCTGCTGCAGGGATTTTTAGGTGTACCTCTTCGGGCTCTTGGATATACCTTTTTCTCGTTATGTGTGTGCGGATTCTTTAGATCCTCAGATGGCTCTAGCACTGTCGTGACCACGGGCTGAGAGTCTTTTGCTAGATTTTGGCATTTAGCAACTGACATACGGTTTAATGTGAAGACAACAACAACATACCATTGTATAGAGTCAACGTGAGACGTGAGAAACAACAACAACAACAACAACAACAACAACAACAAACTCTGCCGCCCCCCCTTTTTTTTTTTTTTTCAGCTTTCCGTTAGCTTTCGTTTGAGCACTTCAGCGTCGCGATCGGGTCTCGCAGCCACGAGATACAGCAACCCGCCCACCAGCGCTCTTGATGTGGGGCATCTTAGCCCTTGTCGGGCTCCTGCTGCTAAGCATGGGTCGGCAGAGAGTGGACCCCGTAGCCGCTGAAAAGGCGTGTGAAGCGGTACGCAGCGGTCGCATGTCACAGAACGCCGCTGCAGCTGCCTTTGGGTTGGGTAGAAGCTCCCTCCAGCGGCGTCTGGATGGTGATTGCGCCATGGACGCGAGGGTTGGCCCCGGGACTGTCATGACCAAAGCAGAGGAGGACGCGGTGGAAGATCTCCTGTTGTTGTACGCTGGTAGAAACTTCATTCCTCTCACCACCGCAGACCTCACGGAACGCGGGAGACGGCTCTGCAACGACGGTCGGCCGATCTCGTGGAATAGTGGCAAGGGCCCGGGGAAGGACTGGCTCAAGGGCTTCCTCGGAAGGCACGAGGGCATCAGCCATCGGCTCGCCCGCATCTACGAGTCTAACCGGGTGACCTCGTCAGAGGATGAGCGTCTGCACAAGTTCTACGTTTTTTGGGCGGAGTTTCTCGGCGAGCACAGGCCTGCGGCCGACCACATTTGCAACACGTACGAGTCAGGTGAGCATAGAGTAGTCTAGACTACTGGTGTGGTGTCAGCAGCAGCTGCTGTGTGGCGGTTTGCGGGCTTGTTTCTACGTTTTCAGCAGAAGTGCACAATGTGAAAATTACGCGAAGTTCTGATGCTGCTGAAAATTGGAGTTCCCCGTTCCCCCGCATGCACATGCTGCGTGCAGAGGACCACTGCTGGATGNGGAGACGGCTCTGCAACGACGGTCGGCCGATCTCGTGGAATAGTGGCAAGGGCCCGGGGAAGGACTGGCTCAAGGGCTTCCTCGGAAGGCACGAGGGCATCAGCCATCGGCTCGCCCGCATCTACGAGTCTAACCGGGTGACCTCGTCAGAGGATGAGCGTCTGCACAAGTTCTACGTTTTTTGGGCGGAGTTTCTCGGCGAGCACAGGCCTGCGGCCGACCACATTTGGAACACGTACGAGTCAGGTGAGCATAGAGTAGTCTAGACTACTGGTGTGGTGTCAGCAGCAGCTGCTGTGTGGCGGTTTGCGGGCTTGTTTCTACGTTTTCAGCAGAAGTGCACAATGTGAAAATTACGCGGAGTTCTGATGCTGCTGAAAATTGGAGTTCCCCCGTTCCCCCGCATGCACATGCTGCGTGCAGAGGACCACTGCTGGATGAACGCGCAAATTGCTGTTGTGTACGCTGGGTGCTGCTCGGGGTCCTTGATATGTCGGCAGTAAATACACACGCTGTTCGAAAAGAATTTTCGCATGGTGTTACACGAGCCGGTCGCCCCGGTGGTCTGGTTGGTAACCTCGAAACCTTCTGGAGGTCAGGTCAGGGGTTCCAATCCCGGCGTAAGCGAGCTTTTCTTGCAAAGTGAGTTTTTCTCTCGCTTCCGCTGCTGGCCTAGTGGATAGCGCTTGTTCGTGTGTACACAGAGGGAAGCGAGTGCTGAACTCTTCTCGCAGTAAAAATCGAAGGCAAAGTACCGCAGGAGGGGAGGGTAGAGAGGGGCTCTTCTGTGTGACCACGGGTTGGAGTAAACGGCACTAGCGCCGTGAGCGCTGTTTGGAAGTGAAGACCAAAACTAAAAAACATGTTCTTACGCAGCACAGACGCGAAATTGACGTGTGGAAGTTGAAGCTGTTGGTGATGCCGCTGCGTTGTGCATCTTGCTCACCTCCTCGACTAGTCTACTGCTGTTACTCTGATTATAATGAAGCCTAGATCTAGATGTCTTTTCGCCCTTGGCCCAATGGCTAGATTGTACTCTACAATTCTGTTAATTGTGAAGCAGCTCTGGAGCAGCTGGGGAACAATTCACATGTGAGGACGTTCCACCCTGTGCGTCTGCCCTACCCGTTCCCCCGCGCCCCCAACCCACGGTAGGCTGGACGTTGGTGGTGCGTGTGAGCGCTGTTTTGCCTCTACTTACTCTCCATCCGCTTTGATTTCCCCCACGCGCGCCTTTCCACCACAAATTATCTTTGTAGGTGGCACCATCCAAGGTGCCCAGGGACAGCAGGTATATGCGGAACGGGGGCAGCCGGTGGTCCCGCAGATGCGTTCCACTTCGCGAGAGAACTGCACGATCATCACCACCATCAACGCCGCCGGCGCCGTGTTGGCCCCTACCATCATCTTCAAAGGGCAGCGTTTCAACGGAGATTGGATCGTGGATCAGGACGGCCCGCCGGGTGCGACGTACACCTGCACGGAGTCGTCCTTCATGTGTGGTGGCGTGTTCATAAAGTACATCATGGACTTCCACGAGCAGCTGCGCAAGCGCAACTTTCTCGATGGAAAACCCCATGTGCTCGTGCTGGATGGGCACGCGTCGCACGTNTTTGTAGGTGGCACCATCCAAGGTGCCCAGGGACAGCAGGTATATGCGGAACGGGGGCAGCCGGTGGTCCCGCAGATGCGTTCCACTTCGCGAGAGAACTGCACGATCATCACCACCATCAACGCCGCCGGCGCCGTGTTGGCCCCTACCATCATCTTCAAAGGGCAGCGTTTCAACGGAGATTGGATCGTGGATCAGGACGGCCCGCCGGGTGCGACGTACACCTGCACGGAGTCGTCCTTCATGTGTGGTGACGTGTTCATCAAGTACATCATGGACTTCCACGAGCAGCTGCGCAAGCGCAACTTGCTCGATGGAAAACCCCATGTGCTCGTGCTGGATGGGCACGCGTCGCACGTGAGCTTGGAAGTCGTGGAGTTGGCCAGGTCCCTCAACATCCACCTCGTCCAGCTGCCCTCCCACATGTCCCACATCACCCAGCCCCTGGACGTCGCTGGCTTCGGGTGCTTCAAGAAGGAGCTGACCAAGGCGATCCAGGCCTTCCCGGCGACACACGGAGGGGCGTTGCCGCGGAAGCGGGACATGGCCTCCGTGATCGGGCAAGCGTGGAGCACGAGCTTTACGCCGGACATCAACAAAGCTTCCTTCGCCGGGGCGGGCCTTTGGCCGGTGGACAAGGAACGGGCACTCAGTCGGCTGCTGAAACCCAAGAGGAAGGAGAGGGAAACCGACCGCCCTCCCCTGCAAGACGTCCCCATCGCCGTGAGCAACGATCGGCTGGAGGAATTGCTGGGCGAACGCGCCGTCCGCAAGCTCCTGGGGGAAGGCCACACCCTCACGGGACTCCGCGTGAGCACGGTGTTTCTCGGCGACTACCTGCCCAGCAAGCGATCCAAGAAGCCGCCAACCCGGGCGAACTTGGGCATTCCAGAGGGAGGACTTCTCACTTGTGACGGGTGGTTGGCGGAGATGAAGAAGAAACAAAACGAAGCCGAGGCTGCCGAGGCCGCCAAGGCGGCAAAGGCCGCGACGAGGCAAACGGCACGGGACGCGAAGGCGGCGGAGGCGGCGGCGGCGGCGAGGAACGGCGGGCGGGGACGGGGGCAGGGGCGGGGCAGAGGGCGGGGCCAGGGAAGGGGGCGGGGGGGCGGGCGAGAAGAGGAGAGTAGGAGGGACGAGCGAACCGAGAGAGGGAGGGAGGAAGGGGGGGGGCGAGGTGTTGGTGTTGTTCAAGGGGGGCGAGGGGGGCGTGGGCGGGGCGCGCGGGGGGGCGGGCGCACTGTTGGTGGCCGCGGCGAGGGCACCGGGGGGCATGGGCGGGTAGGTGATCCTAGCCGCGATGGTAGAGGGGCGGAATGAGCGGGAGCGGCGGGACGGGCGGGAGGGTCAGGAATCACCGGGGGTCAGCCGCCGCCGGCGTCCGTATCGCGATCGGGACGAACCCGCACGCCGACACCTGTAGTGGATGTCTAGGTTTCTTCGGGGAGGTGGGGGTTGTATTGTTGTGCAGAGAACCACATGGTATCGGGCTAAAGTTAGCTCTGAATGGCTTGAAATTTTTGTGTGGAACTGATTTCGAACTGTTGAGTGTTCAGTACGGGTCACGAGGGTGCTTCAGGTAACGTGGTTGTCAAACAGCACGTCGAGGGGGAGGCGGGAATGGCTGGCGGACAAGTTGTGGACAAACCCGGGAATGCTGTACTTTTGCCCCCTGGGCTATGTGTTTTTCTTTTTCATCCAACTTGTTTTTTGCAACCTTCAATATGTTCCTCTGAAACGGCGTCACGCGGGGGGTTAATATGGGTGTAAAATAGTTGCTTCAACATGTGGCACGGTTTTGGCGAAATTTGCTGCCGTACAAGCCAAAAAGGGGGCAAAAGTGCCCATGTTTGGACAGGCATATCACCATCCATAGGCATCCGTTTAACGTTTTTTTTTTTTGTGACTCAGAACAGGATGCGTACAAGCCGTTAGTTCATCAAATTCAACGGTTGAGCTGGTTCAAGGCAACACAACCCGCAATACCCCCAAAAATGGGTATTTTTCGCCCCGCAGAATTGAGCCGAAAAACCGGGGATATGGGCATTGTGTCCCCGGTTGTGGGCCGATTTTTTATTTTGTATCGAATGTCCATCATACTAAGATTATGTGTGCCCAATTCGATGTCTTAGTACGCTTCAGAACCTTTGCAAATCGACCATCACCGGAACCTGCCCTTACTACCCGCACGGTCGTTCTCCGCGCATTTTTATCTGGAAAATCAGGTATACTTTGAGGGTATATCTCATCGCCATCTCGACTTTTTTCCAAAATTCTTTTTTTATGTTGTAGGCTATGATATAAGCTATCATCCGATACCTCAACCTCTTCATAACTCATCGTGACACCAAAGAACGAGCTGCCGAGGTGGGGGGTGCCTTAGGCTGCCCTTAGTATGTCTACAAGCCTTTTCACTGATCATTTCACTGATCATTTGAATATACTGAAAATAGACTAGTTCAGGCGGCTTGACGACTGATCTTTTCGAGGTCTACAAGCCTAAATTGCGCGACTGGCCGCACCGCGACCACGCATCAACCCTTCTATGATCCTGTCTGTGTACACCGTCCTGTCGCGGGCAGCCCTCATGGCCCATGGGTGGAGATAGCTGTTGCGTCTACAGAAGTACACCTTCTCTCTGCTGTATTTCTGTCTCTGCTTTTTTTTGCCGCAAAAAACGAAAGAGGTAGACCCAAAGGGATTGATCGAACGGCAGCATCCGTCGGCCTCCTCCTGGCGCGTGCGTACTCAACACGGAGTAAGATGGCGCACAGAGGATAATCAATGACGAAAAACAGCCACCAGCAACACGAGTGCGGCACTCGCTCGACACACGTGTGACTCGAGAAAAGGGCGTTGAACGAACGCACGCCGTTCAACCAAATCTTACGTCTCTACAGCAAGGGAGCTCCCCTCGTAGTGATTGCCTTCGTACGAAGTGTTGCCCGAGTTTGTACTTGATGCCCTTCTACCATACAAGACTTGAACATTCCGGTGTTGTTCGCGATTCGAAAAAGGTACTTGGTGTATCTGTCATACCAGCAGTTGGAGCGTTCTTCTATTCACCCGGGTTCGGCTGAACAGAACATAACAACGAATTGTACGAAAATCAAACAGTTACACGGCCTAATAGTCAACAATCAATCTTTCTTAGCATGAGGTGTGTTCGTGTGTTTGGATACGGACAGGTATTGATCGACCGCAGTAACG